GACGTACAATGCATGAATGAATGAAGACCTGGTGCAGCAGGGGGTGGTGCCGCCTAGAACGAGCCGCTCGCGAACTGTCGCCAAAGAGTGCTTGGATTCTGATCCAGAGCGAGACCTCCATTGAAGTTGTTGGCACAGTGTTGTCGCTTCCTAGTGGCCCCGTTGGGGAAGGCGACTTCGAGATCGAGGAAGATCGACAGAAGCTGGCTCCCGTTATGCGGCAGATCTTAATCCGAAAGCTCCTTCATTGCCTGCGAGTGGGAGACTTGCCTGGATTCCGGCGCCACCTCAACCTGCAGACGGTTCACCTTCGAGGGCTGCAGGTCGAGCCAGTGTCCGGCCTTCTTCCTAGCCGAGAGGGTGGTGATGATGCGGAAGAGTTCCTACACCAAAACGGTTCGAGAAAGATCGGTGAGGCCGACAGCGCTGGGTGGTGGCCTCTGCACTACGCAGCACTGGCCGGCAACGCAGAGGTACTGAGAGGGCTGCTCGAGAAGCGTGCCAACGTGAACCGGCGCACCTCTAAGGATCAGCCCGAACTGGGCTTTCCGTTTGGGACGTCGGCTTTGGATCTGGCGGTGTTCTTCAAGCACCACGAGGCCACACGGCTGCTGCTTGCACAAAGCGCACACATGGAAGATGTCATTTCTCCATCGATGTTGCAGGCGGCCACTTCGGACAATGCGGAAGGTGTCCGCCTGCTGTGCGCAGCAGGTGCTAGGCCATTGGCCCGGAACATCCTGGGGCCCAGTAGCTTCGAGGGCGCAGCAGCTAATGGAGCCACAGCAGCTTTGGAGGAGCTGCTGGCGCAGGGTCGCCCAGGACCGCCGGACCTTTCACGGGCACTGTTCGTTGCGTCATCATTTCGAGGTGGCTCGGCAGAGCTGGTGCAGCGCTTGATTGGCCTCCGTGCCGACATTGACTTTCAGATGAACGTGCCGCGAGACTGGAAGACGCTGGGCCGGCTGTTTTTTGCAGCGAAGTCCATGCAGTACCATTTCGGCCGCGCAACTGTGTTGACGACTTTCGCCTATCATTTGCATGGCAGCACACCGCTGATGCAGGCCATCAGGTCGGCTCAATTAGAGGCTGCCGCAGCTCTGATCGCTGCCGGCTCCCGACTGGACCTCTGCAATTGTCGAGGCTGGACAGCGGCAGACTTTGCCCGTGACCAATTGGTTCCACGCTTTCTGCAGCTGGGTCTACAGGGTGACCCGTCCGAGTGCCGAAGGGTGGCATCCCTTGCACGTAGTGACGGCTACGTCGAGGTTCCTTTTTGATTTTTCGTCTTTAGCCATTTAAGCAGCGAGACGGAAACGCCTTCACTGACCCTCTTTTTTTATGTGAAGTGCTCAATACATCTCCGCAGTCTCACCTCAAACCGGTGTGGGATGTTCAGCTCCCAACCTCGTGCAAAGGTTGCAACTGTGTGAAGGGTTCAGGTTTTTAGGCTTTTAGGATTTAGCACTGAAGACTCGAGAATTGTAGGAACTCAGGGCCATAGGTTTCCGGATAAAGGGGTGTCGTTTAGGAAGCCGCTGCGACTCCAGTCGGGGATAACGGCTCGAGCTAGAAGGACAGGCCCCGGGCCATGGGTGTTTCTTCTGCGAAAACAGCAACTTCCCAACGGCAAATCCGACATCGGAAATATCAGGAAGCTCTAAACCCCCTATATGGGTAGTTCTCTAAATTAGGGCCCCTTTTTAGGTCCCCCAAGATAGTACGGCACCCTTATCAGAAGGACCCTAAAAGGGACCCTAACTTTGAAAACGACCCATATACCCTGAACACCCCTGCCCTAAACCCTAAACCCTAAACCCTAAACCCTAAACCCTGAACCCCTGTCCTTCCAAAAGAGTGCATCGGCGTGAGGCCGACCTGTGGACTCGGTCGCTGCTGTCCCCCAGCTGCCAGGCCCCTGAGGAGTTCCATTATGATCGTTCCTTTAAGGGGTTTAGGGTTTAGGGTTAGGGGTTTAGGGTTTTGGGGTTTAGGGTTTTTGGGTTTAGGGTTTAGGGTTTTTGGGTTTAGGGTTTTTGGGTTTAGGGTTTAGGGTGGGCCAGGGCTAGCAGAGGGTCGGAATAGGGTTTGGGGTTTGGGGTTCCTTGACGGGCCGAGGGCTCAGATAGGAGTCGGATTTTAAGTAGCAGCAGTGTGCCCCAAGACTCCTTGGTATACTTATACTCCTGGTTATGTTCTATACCCCCAAATCCAATTCTGAAGAAGCAGCACTTCTAATCGCACGGCCCAGTAGCAACGAGTGCCCAGGCTTGAGGGCGTTCTCGCAGCCACTCTTACAAGTAGTGACCTAAGCCTATGTAGTAGCAATTAGAGGAATCCTTCTATCCGTGAAATAGGCCTCATAGTAATCCTCATACTAACGCTTACCCTTAGACCCTATAAACAGCTGGGCCATTGCTATAGTTCTCCCTTTCTCAGAACCCTAAACCCTAAACCCTAGACCCTAAACCCTAAACCCTAAACCCCCAAAACCCCCAAAACCCTAAACCCTAAACCCTAAACCCAAACCATGAGCCATGCCTATGAGAAGGCCAGCCAGCGAGTCCGGCAGGCGCTGCTTTTCCGCAAGCAGGTGGGCGGCTTCAACTAGGCAGCCAGTATAAGGCTTCCCCGGATCCCCTAACAGCCCCTTAAGAGAGCCTTTATGGTCCTTCATAGTGGGTATTCAGGGTATACTAGAGGGTCGTTGGGGGTCTAGGTTAAGACAGTTTAGGGTTTAGGGTTATTTATAGGGTTTAAGGCCACGATAAGCAGTACCACATGGGCTACTATAAAGGTATTGTAACGGCTGCTATGATGAAGCTTGAATTCCTCCACAGCATTCTGCAACCTACCCCCAAGGGTGTAGGGATAATACTGGTAGCAAGATGAATCAGTTCAACCGGCGAATGGCCTCAGCACGACAAAGTTCAGCGGGCTGGCGCACATTAGGGCTTGCAGCGCATGTTCAAGCGTGAGCACCCTGTAAAATAAAGAGGTCTAACTTAGCTAGTTACTTTAGGGCCCATTTTTTAAGGTTTATAGGGGTTTAGGGGTTTAGGGTTTAGGAAGGGGCTAGGGAGTTCGAGTAGAGAGCGATGTTGCACATCCTTCGAGCTCGTCCGGCTCTGTTTCGGGTGTAAAGTTTCGGGAGCTCTCGCAACCCTAGACCCTAAACCCTATCCCTAAACCCTAAACCCTAAGCCTATATCCCTAAACCCTAAACCCTAAACCCTAAACCTACATCCCTGAACCCTCCAGGAGCCCTGAGCCCGAGACCCGAAGCCGAACACATAAATCAGAAACCCGTAGGCGGTGAAGGAATGGAGCCCTCAGCCTCCAAAACCTTCAATCCGCCTCAATCCTCCAACCCTTCGGTTTAGCGTTTAGGGTTTAGGAAGTTCGGGTTTAGGGTTTAGACAAGAAAGAAGAACAATCATGATAGGCATCATCGTATTATTGCTGCTGCGACGACTGATGATGATGCGAGTAGTAGGTATAGCAGAGCAGTTTAAACAAAAAACAACTACAAACCCCTAAACCCCTAAACCCTAAACCCTAAACCCCTAAAGCCCTAAAGCCCTTAAACCTTAAACCCTAAACCCTACAAGCCCTAAGCCCGAAACTCCAAGCCCTGAGCCCTGCAAACCCGCCTTCGGTCAGGCCCCGCAGTGATTCGAGCGGACGCTGCCCCTCTGCGGGCAGGCGGACGGTTTAGAGCTTCCATTCGCCTACCAAAACCCACTTTTTTGTAGGTTCCTATTATAAACCCTAATATCAATATGGGATTGACAGGGACCCTACAAAAAAGTAGGTTCTGGTGGGTTAAGGTCTTTCCCATGAAGTTAAGGTTCAGGGTTGATGGGTTTAGGAGCTACGGCCTGCAGTGGAGAGTGTCTAGGTGTTATCTGCAGTGTGTACAGACTTGCCATGCCTAGTAGTTACAAGGTTATGAAGGTTCAGGTAGTTCCCCAGCTTTCCAGGGATCGCAGGGTCTTGATGGGTGTGTTACAGCGCTCTGTAGGGTTCGGAAAAGCCAGTATCGGGAAGTCTTGTGGCGCGCGAGTCAGTGCTGGTGCTGTTGGTGTTATCGGTGAGTGGTGTTAAGGCTATGGTTGTCGTTCTCGCCAGCCTCTGAGGCTGGTGTCGTTGCCCTGACGAAGCCCAACATTCTCCAGCTCAACCCCATGCCCTAAACCCTAAACCCCCCTAAACCCTAAACCCTAAAACCTAAACCCAACCCATCGACCCACGAAGCTCAAACTTGGTCCCAAGCCGCCCAAGCCCGGGTTTGGGATTCAGGTGTAGGTTTTTGTTTGGCGGGCGGGCCTCGCAAGAGTACTCGATGGTTCATTCTCCATACATGAATAAGAGCGGAGACAGAGAGAGAGAGAGAGGAGAGAGAGAGAGAGGGCGAGAGACAGAGTGAGAGAGAGAGAGAGAGGGAGCGAGAGAGAGAGAGAGGAGAGAGAACCCAATGCTTTCTTTCTGCACTTGTAGATCTCAACAATTCACACGCACACACGTCTCGCCAAATGCCAAGACAGAAGCAGATACGCAAGAGTGGGAAATCCCAACTGGGTCTATGGGCCCAAAACAACGAAACCCTGATCCACAAGACCAACTCTAAATTTAATCCCCAAAACAACGCTAGCAGCAGAACCCCGAAAACTCCCTCTACAACCGATCATTCCAGAACCCCGTAAAAGAGCTTCCAAAGCTCTAAATAAACGTAATGTACCAAAGCTCTAAATAAACGTAACGTATAAGGAATCCCAGCACTATGTGTCCTTAAAATCCGGTTTCCAACTTCTTTGGGGTTTACAAAATCCCTCAACCCTAAACCCCTTTTTTTTCAGAGGGCCCTTTTGGCAGACACCAAAAAGGGCCCTCAAAAACTAAAAATCTAAACCCGAGGCCTACACCCCGCAAGGCCCCTGAGCCTTGAGACCCTAAACCCTAAACCCTCAACCCTAACCCTAGACCCTAAAACCCTATCCCGTCAACCCTAACCCCTTTATATGTAATTAGTCAGGCCGTTAGACCCTTTTACTGTAGAGCACCTATAGAACCCTCCTATACCCCTGTAAAGGAGCCCAAAACATGTAGGCTCCTACAAAATAGAACCCCTTCCAGAAGCCCTTATAGGACCCCGAAAAAAGGAACCCCAAAACCCTAAACCCTAAACCCTACCTGCATACCACGAAACCCGTACTGCTGATGATATAAATCCTGCATTACCCATAATAAGAAATATTTCCCGCAATTCCCATAGTTTAGGGTCCGTAAGGTAATGCAGGATTTAGATCATCAACCGTATGGGTAATTCTCTACACTGAAATCCATACGCATAGTTCTCTCTAGAGAAACCCAAATGGGACCCTAACTTAGAGAACTACCTACGGTAGGGGCCTTCATCATTAGAATAGGGTTGTGGGGTATATTACACTACAATTATCATAAGGAGCCCAAAGGAAGAATGTAGGTAATTATTTAGGCTTCTATATTACCTAATTATACTATAATTATGATAAGGAACCCTAAGGAACGATGTAGGTCAATGTAGGTAATTATTTGGGCTGGTATATTACCCATCTTG